GTCCGGCGGACCGGACCGGGGGGCGCTGGCCCCCCCCGCCCCCCGGTGCGCTGCACAAAAGAGCTGGGCCGGCCGGTTCCCCAGCGGGGGGTCTCGAGCTGGGGAGGAGGCGCCACTTACCGGAGTGCTGGGCTGCCGGCTCTGTGGGTCCGAGCCAGGCGAGGGGCTTTGGGGGGGCGTCCGTCTTCCGGCGGCGGCAGGGACGCGGACGCCCAGCTGCTGGGAAGAGGAGTCGCGGAGGAACCCTGAGCCGCCTGCCGTCGCTGACAGCATGGCTCGCGCCTCGGCTCACATTCTCCGCCGCCAACTCCGCTGGACACGGCTCCCCGCTCCCGCGGCGCCCCCCCCCACGCAATCACTCCTGGGCTCCCTGCGCCCCACTCGCTCCCCCAGCCGCGCACACACTCTCACCGCCCTGGACACCCCCGCCCCAGCCCCCCCCAATTGCAAACCTGAGAGGGAAGGCGCCCCGCGTAGTCCTCCTGCTCCTCCTCCTCCGCCCTCCTCCCTCCCGCTCACTCTGCCTGTCTGTCTGTCTGCCTGCCTGCCTGTCTCTCTTTCTCGCTCTCTCTGCCTTTCTCTGCTCTCCGAGCTGGGTGGGAAAAGGAAATGAGGACAGAAAGCAGACGCTGGCTTTGGGTGGTGGTAGCTGGATTCCCTCTCTCCCTCCCTCCTCCCTCCTCCCCTCCCTCCTCCTGCCTTCTGCTCTCTCCGCTGCGAGCGGGGCTGAGCGCAGCCTGGCGGGTGGCTCGCTCTGCCCCCCCCCCCCCCCCCCCCGCCTGTCTGTCTGTCTGGTCTGCCTCGCTCGCTCCCTCCCTCCGTCTCTCGCCCTCGCCCTGCCTGCCTGCCTCTCTCCGTCTCCGCCGCCGCCGCCGCTGCCTCTGCGAGCTCGCCTTACCTTCGCCGCTCACCATCCGGAACCCCAGGGGGGAGCGCGCGCGCGGCACGCCGGGACTTGTAGTCCCCGCCTCGGCCGCTCCGAGCGCAGGGCGGGCGGGGCGGCTCCGGCTGCTCCGACGGCGCGTCCCGGAGCGCCGGGACCCTGCGCCCTGGTGCCTCGGACCGGGATGCGTCCCGATTTATCGAAGACTGGCGATCCCACCGGAGGGTCGAGAAGGTTCCCGGGGCTCTCAGGCCCTTGCTGGGGGCTCTGGCCGCGCGGAGGGGGGCGGGTAGTAGCGGAGGGGCGGGGTCTGAGAATCGAATGGGAGTGGAATAGGGAATCAGAGGGTGTAGCCAAAAGGGCCTGTGACTTTATGGGGGCGTCCCAAGCAAGTCGAAGGGGGCCGAGGCGAGAGAACACCTGCGCTCAATTTCGGGACGCTTTTCCTTTCTGGAAAGACTTCTTAGGGAGTAAAGCGCGAGGGCTTCTGTTAGGGAAGCTGCTCTGGAAACGCTGAAGCCCAAGCCACCGCCTTCGCGGCATCAGTGACCCTTCCCCTCAAACTCCGCCCTGTATTTAGTCCCTCCAGCGCCTAATTTTCCTAGTCCTTCGAGGAAGGCGAGGGTGCAAAAATCCTGTTCAGTCTATAGACAGCAAGCCCCTCCGGAATTCTACTGAACAATCAGAAGCAGGATTCAGATTCAACAGTTCTGGAGTTCCTGCTGCTGCGGGGGGCTGGGCTCAGCACTTTCACCTACCTCCTCTTCAGGTCACATCTGTTCTCCAGCCCCTGGCTCTGCCCCCCACCCCTTGCCTATCCCACAGATGGGAATGAGAACTGCTGCTGCTACTGCTGCTGCTGCTGGCTTTGTTACCCCAGGGAGGTGGCTGGACAGCCCTGGAAGGAGAACTATCCCCCAACAACCCCAAAAGAACTGTACCTTATCATTTCCATTTTAGATACAGAAGCACTGAGGCCCAGGTGCCCCAATTAGAAAGTGGTGGATCTCAGACTGATTGGACCCAGGGTCTGGCCAGTTCCAAAGCTCAGGCATACTTGACCCTTGGGCCCCAAACTACCTCCCCCATCTCTGGCTCAATGACTGACCTCTCCCTGTGTTTCTGTTTTCCCTTGGCACTAAGGTATGCAGGGCTTGCAGGGGACACAGAGATGAATACTGTATGGTCACTGTCCTGGCATATGTCTACTGACTGGTCCTGAACTAGTCCCACCTCATCTGCTGTATCTGACTTTGGCCAGTGTCTGTTGGTTTAGTCTGTGTCTGCAGCTCCTCCACCAATGCCTTTTGTCCTTAGTCCACCTGTTTCTAACTCCTCCTTTGGCCGTGCAGGGTGATAGTCAGTTAGCCTGTGTCAAAAGTAGGTGGTGATATTGTGCCAACTCCCTGTATCTCCATGCCTCCCAAACCTCTCCCATAGGACAGTCCAGAATTTCTATAGAGCACAAAAGAGGGGATGTGGTGGGGTACAGCAATGATAAAGACAGGTGAAAGGCTCTTAACAGTACACCAACTGATGTGGCATCATGGTGCGTGTGGCCAGCTGGAGAGGCCTCCCATCTAGGGGCAGTTTCTCCTTGCAGACAAGACAGGCCATGGGAATTGATTGGGAAGCATGATAAGGTCAGATTAATAAAAGCAGTTGGTAAATTACTTTAGAAGCCCTTTGTAGCTTAAACCCCAAGTCTGAGGGTATCTCAAATAAATGGCATTTGGTATCTTTCCATAGCTGCCTCCCACAGTACAAACTGAGGGTGTGTGAAACCCAGATTCCCCCTCCTTTAATTCTCCATCTACTCTTACCACCCTGAGATTCTACAGGTCACGAAGACCCTCACTGAGTCAAATTTCGGGAGATTGCGGGGTGGGGGAGTAATACAGGAGGTAGGGAACTCCAAGAAATGTAGGACTAAGGAGCGTTTGGGAGAAGCTTAGAAGGAGGAAGAGGCATGGAAGGAGGGGGAAGGGTTAGGTGGTGAGAGGGAAATTACAAGTTAGGTCGAATTTTCCAAGCATGCCCCTCCCACCCTAGGCTGCTTCAGCTGTCCCTTCCCCAGAAGTAGGGGGTGCAATTAGTCCCCAAAGTGTTGCTAATCACTGGAAACAAAGCACAGCAAAATCTCCCTGGAATCTGGGGGCAGGTTTTTCTTATGGAGCCTCTCCAAATTATGTTGGGGGGGGGGTTTCCCCAAAGCACAAGCAGTCTTCTGTGGGATGCTTCTGCCATCTAGTGTCCAATCTCCATAACTGCGTCGGCAATTTGCGCTAAAGGACAGCTGTTCCCCAACATCTCAGCGTGCTCCAACCACTTTTATTTCAGTGGAAGCAAAAACTAGAATAGTCAGACCTTAGGGAATACTGTCGAAAATTTGGATAAAGTGTGTGATCCTAAGGTTTTAGAAGCCATGTAGACTGGGACCCAGGCACATCCGACCCTAATCCTGCTTTTTATTTGTTTTATGTCCTTAACTTGTCAGAGTCTCAGTTTCTCTATGTGTAAAACAGATGCAGGTTGAGCTTAATATATGGGGAAGTTAAAGTGCTTTGAAAACTACACTGGGCATAGTAGTTTATGTCTATAATCCCAGCACTGGAGAGGTGGAAGCAAAAGGACCTGAAGTTCAAGGTCATCTTCAGCTATAGGGTGAGTTTGAGGTCAGCCTGAGCTACATGAAACCCTGTCCCGCCCCCCCAAAAAAAGTGCTTTTTGAAAATTGACAAGGATCTGTAAAGATTATCAATTCATAAAAATAATGGCAATAATTGACAGGTCCCTGGAGTCAGGCCTCTGGGATTCATGGGAATGAAAGAAGTGAGGCCCAGGTAGAGATGTGTGGAATGCTCTCTGAATACAGAAGTTCTGGGACTCTTTAGGAGAGATGTGGATTGTTAGAGAGTAGTTGAGCCCAGTTCACACGAGAAGTGACTGAGACTTAACAAGCTTCCCTAAACTTTCCTAAGCCACTGAGCTACAGATCCAAGAATAAGAGGCCCATGGGACTGGAGCCATTATGTCCTTGCCTATCTCCTCCTTTGGATGGGAGCAACCAGAGCTCGGGCCCATAAGATCAGGGAAGCAGGAAGCCCCCCGCCCCCCCCCCCCCCCCCCCCGCATTGTGGTATAGTGGAGACTCAGGCCCCCAGGCCCCCATTAGCCCTCCTCCTGGGCTGGCCTCTCTCCCCTCCCCAGTGCAAGTCCTCCCACATTCCTCCAGGCAACAGGAAACCCCAGCTGCAGCCCAGACTTCAAACATCTCCTCCCTCTGGGGCAGGGGGTGTGGGAGGAGAGGCCAGAGGCCACAGGGCAAAGGTCAGCTTTGTTCCTGCCAGAGGTGGTGAGGGACCTGGAGAAGACAGAGGGGGGCAGGGTAGGACCCTTGACAGCCACACTGCATGTGTGTGCATTCCTGTGTCTATCAGGGTGTGCAAGGTCGGGGCTCTCCCTGTGTCTGAGGGTAAATGCATGCCCTTGAGTTGCCTTCAGTTATCTGATTGTGGATCCATACATGGTTGTCTGTTGGTGAGTACTTAGCCTGAGACACCACTGATGTGTCTGTAGGTGTTATGAAGTATATTTTTGTGCCTGGTTCACAGCTCTGGTCAAAGCTATGTGTCCTCTGAGTGTGGTCTGGTATGTTTCTTTGTGTTTAGAAGGGTTATTTCTCTCTTGCCTCTTCTATCACCCTTCCTCCATGTTGGTCAACAGAGGTTTTCTTCTGCAAAGTGACTCTGACTTTGTTATTCCTCTGTTCATGCCCACAGTTCTAGCATTCAGGATACTGGAGACTAATTTGAGGCCAGCCTGGGCTACATAGTAACAGGCTAAACTGACCTATACTGAGACCAGAGCTCAAAAACAAAACAAACAAGACTCTACTTTGGCTTCCTGTTGCCCAAGGGTTAGAATCCCAGCCAAGTGCATGGTTGACCAGAACTCCAACCTACCTCACCGTTTTCATTTTTAGCCACTAACAGCCCCCTCAGATTTTATATTCTAGTCACAACTACCTAATTTTACATCTCAACATAGTTTGATTTTCTACCTCTGAGCTCACTTAAGTCTGTCCAGTCTGGAATGCTTTCTTGCTTTTTCAAAAAAATTTTTTTTGTTTGTTTGAGACAGGGTTTCAAATAGCCTAGGCTGGCCTGTGTAGCTGAGGATGTCCTTTTTTATTTGCAACAAGGTGTCAGGTCTCCCTGTAGCCCCAGTTGGCCTGGAACTCACTATATGAACCAGGCTGGCCTTGAACTCACAGAGATCCGCCTACCTCTGCCTCCCAAGTGCTGGGATTAAAGGCATATGCCACCACGCCCCAGCTTAACTTTGAACTCTTTTTCAAAAAGGTTTATTTTTATTATTTTTAATTATGTGTGTGTATGTCTGGGTGTCTGTGCAATGTGTTCATAAGTGCAGGCGCCCCAGGAAACCAGAGGCATCAGATTTCCTGAGCCTAAGTTACAGGCAGTTGTGAGCTGCCCAGAGTAGGTACTGGAAACTGAATTTACGTCCTTTAGAAGATCAACAAGCACTCCTAACCTCTGAGCCATCTCTCTAGCCCTGACTTTGAACTCTTGACTCTTCTTCCTTCTCATCCCAAGTGCTAAAATTATAGCTTGCTGCTGCTACCTCCTCCCCTTCCTCCTCCTCTTCCTCTCTTCTCTTTCTCTTCCTCACTCCTCCTTTTTGTTTTTTTTTTCTTTCTTCTTTTCTTTTTAAAAAGAAGTTTTCTTGCTGTGTAGCCCAGGTTTACCTCAAGCTCGAAATCCTTCTGCCTTGGCTTCCCAAGTACTGGCCTGTGCCACCATGCCCAGCCATTCTTTTAGTTTTTCTCTGTTTTGTTTCTTGGTATGAATGTTCTGCCTTCATATATGTGTGTACACCATGTGTGTGCCTGATGCCCTTGAAGACCAGAAGGCCTGGAATCCCCCTGGAACTGGAGTTACAGGTGGCTGTGAGCTGCCATGTGGATGCTGGGAACCTAATCTGTGTCCTCTGCAAGAGCAGCAAGTACTCTTAACCCCTGAGCCTTCTCTCTAACCGCTTGTTTTTTGTTTTTCTTATCTCTAGTGAAGCAACGCCCCCTCTGAAGAGTCTTCCTGCCTAATTGAATTAGGATCCCCCCTTGCTCTCCGGCAGATCCTGCTTTCTGAACCCTATCACCATTAAACAGTGTGTCCTCTGAGAACAGAACTGTATCTCACTCCTGTCCAGGGATGGGAAGTTTCTGAAGGGACCTGATACTACCTTACCCACCTGCCCCAAAAGTTTCCTTTATTTTTGGATGTAGTTCTCCGAGTTTCCACCAGAGGGAAGACAAACATCGCTATAGGACCATTCAGGCACTGTGTACCTAGATGGGGGTGGGGGACTGAGGGGGAAGGCTTCCATCCCAAACAGAGAAGCACCTCCAGGAGTGGACAGAGGATCCACCCAGCTCAATTTTGGAGTGGGACTTAGGACAGAATCCTCCAGTGAATTCTGAGTCCCCAAATTATTTCTTTCTGGCTTTCCACAATCCTGGATCCATGACTCTTGACTTCCCTATGTCCACTCTGTTTTCCCAGCCTCCAATCTTCTTCTAGGCTTCATCTATACCCTCAATCTCACACACAATTATTTGCATTTGCCTGAAAGGGCCTTGCTCTGCCATACCTCTGGGCCTTTGCACATGCTGTTCCCTTAGCCAGAGATTACCTCACTCTTCTGTTGCTTCATCAGGCGGATTTCTTTCCCATAAGCCAAGAAATCTCCCTTGCTGCTCTGTGTGATAATTATTTGCTGTTCTGCCTCCTGGACAAGACTAGCCTATAGGAGTCAACAGTACATATGTACAGAACAGCCAAGCAGGGTAGCAGATGCCTGTAACCCCAGTGCTTGGGAGGGCAGCAGCAGGAGACTAGTGAGTTCAAGGCCAGCCTGGGCTACATAGACCATGCCTCAAAAACAGTAACAACAAAAAAAAGGACAAAAAAAAAAAATTGCAAGCAAACAAAAAACAGATGTGTATAAAATTAGTGAATGATTGGATTGTTTTGCAAGTGCAATCCACAGCATATATGGGGATTGGATTCATGTCTTCCCTGGGCCTGACTGAGTTGATATCAGACTTTGCCATACAGATCTATCAAAGAAGCCAGGTGTGGTAGCGCAAGGCCTTTAATCCTAGCACTCAGAAGGCAGAGGCAGGCGGATCTCTGTGAGATTGAGGCCAGCCTGGTCTATATAGGGAGTTCCAGGGCAGCTGGGGCTACAAGGAGACCCTGTCTTAAAAAAGAAAAAAAAAAAAAGCTGGGCATGGTGGTGCATGCCTTTAGTCCCTGTACTCCAGAGGTAAAGGCAGGTAGATCTCTATCAGATCTAGACCAGCTTGGTCTACATAGTGAGTTCCAGGTCAGTTGGGGCTACAAGAAGACTCTGTTTTAAGGGCAAAAACAACACACACACACAGAAATGTGACATAGCCAGATGAAGGCGTATCACAGTTCAAACTCTGACTCTATCATCTGGTTATATGACCTTGGGGGGAGGGTCAGAGCCTTCATTTCCTTTTTTGTAAATGGTGATAATCTCACACTGCCGCAGAGCCTCCATGGTGGTAAGGATCAAATTAGACTATGCATGTGAAACACCCAGCATCAGTCAATTAGGTGTCCTCCTCCCCCAGCATGAACTTGGAAATAAAATTGCCCTCTGAGTCTTAAGCCAGTAAAATCTACGCATCGCAGAGGAGAAGAGCCAGGTGGGGGAGTGAATGAGGCGAGAGATGGCTTTGTAAACGACTGAAGAGTTTTGTGAACAGTGCAAGCCGCAATCAAGGTGACCCGCCTGTAATCTCAGGGAGGCAGGGCGAGGAGGATGTGATTGAAATGGAGAAAACAGTAGCCTAATCAATTGCATTGTGCTCTATCTGGAAGGAACAGAAGGCAGTACTGAAATGGGGGTACAAAGGAGGTTCATCCAGCTGCTCCAGAGGGAGAGCAGGGAACCTGGAGACACAGGGAAGCTCTGGTCTGCTGAGGAGCAGCAAGGGGCCTAGAGAACTCCAGATGGTTCACTGAGCTGCTGGGCCTTTTCTAAAACCACATGGGCAGCAGGCAGCAGGCAGATCCCCAGGAGGCAGACAAGAATATCCTAGTTCCAGGAAAGGGCTGTGGAGACAGAGTACTACATCCAGGGCCAGAGACTTGGTTCAGGCCCTGCTCTACCACTAACGACCTGGACACCTTCAGAAAACTGATTTAAGCTGGGCATGGTGGTATATGCTTATGGTCCTAGCACTGGGGAGCCTGAAATACATACCAAAACCCTGTCAAAAAAAAAAAAAAAAAAAAAAAAAAGAAGTAAATGGACTGATTTACCTCACAGTGCCTTAGTTTAGACAGAACAATCTCCTGTTTTCTTAGGTTCTGTGAGGATTAAATGGCATCACGCCTCTAGCAGGACTCCTGGCACAGAGTCAACACTATAAATGGTAGTGACAGAGAGCTAATGGGTATTAGACATTTTACTGCTACTTCACAGATGAACAAACTGAGGCTCGGAGAGATTAACAACTTGTATAAAACCACATAGCCAGCAGGTGGTAGAGGCAGGATTTATATCAGATACTATAGCTCCAGAGCCAGGCTCTTAACTGCTTAGCCTATGACATCTAGAAACAGAAGCTGCCTTCTGGCTTGTATGGGCTTTTGTGAATTTGGTTGGCTAGAGACTGAGGCCCTCAAGAAATGTTGGTCCCTGAGAGTTTGTCTACAGCTGTCATAGCTGTGACAACTCCTCTGAGGAGCCACTTGGATTTTCTCTTTTGCTCTTATTCAACAACCTTCAGCACAGAAATGGGCCCAGGGAACTCTCAGTCTACACTTAGTACCTGATTCTCTTTCCTTCAGGCCCCTCAATTTGGTGGGTGTTTCTATGGAATCTTTCTGCCAGTAACTACAGAGAGAAGGAACACACACACACACACACACACACACACACACACACACACATGCACACACCCCATATATATTTCCATATTTCCTTTCCAAAGCCTAGAGGCAGTGAAGTCTAGTGAAGAAACCATAGGCTTGAGTATAAGCCCTGTTCTGTCATATAGCTGAGTAATTCAGGGGTATCATGTAACCCCAGAATCTGAATTTCATTTTTCTCATCCAGTGGGGCTAATCATAGACATAGGCTCAACATTGGATTAAATGGGGTGGAGGGGATACAGGCACATCTGACATTTAACAGGCGCTTAATAAATGGGTTAAGCTGGGCATAGTAGTACACCTATAATCCCAACATCTGGAGGCAGTAGGATCAGGAGTTCAAGGTCATCCTCAGCTATATAGAGAGTTTGAGGCCAGCTTGGACTACATGAAGCTATGAGTCTCAAAAATTTTGTTTAATTAGCAGGGCGTGGTGGTGCACGTCTTTAATCCCAGCACTCGGGAGGCAGAGGCAGGAGGATCTCTGTGAGTTCAAGGCCAGCCTGGTCTACGTAGTGAGTTCCAGGACAGCTGGGACTACAGGGAGACCCTGTCTCAAAAAAAAAAAAAAAGGGCTTTTTTTTTTTGGCCAGGCTTGGGGGCCCATGCCGTTAATTTCAGCATTTCCGCACCAGGGGGAGGCAGAGGCAGGAGGCTCTCTGTGAGTTCAAGGCCAGCCTGGTCTACGTAGTGAGTTCCAGGACAGCTGGGACTACAGGGAGACCCTGTCTCAAAAAAAAAAAAAAAGGGCTTTTTTTTTTTGGCCAGGCTTGGGGGCCCATGCCGTTAATTTCAGCATTTCCGCACCAGGGGGAGGCAGAGGCAGGAGGCTCTCTGTGAGTTCAAGGCCAGCCTGGTCTACATAGTGAGTTCCAGGCAGGCTGGGGCTACAGGGAGACCTGGCCTCAAAAAGACCAAAAAAATAGGTTATTGTTATTTTATTATTATTATTTCTCCCTGCCTGAAGGAACTCTTCCAGGGCAGGGGGAGAGCTTACTCATGTGTCTGTGACCAGGGTCTTACCCAGCAAAGGGCCCATCAGAGTCAACACTCAACTAATCATTGCCTAGTGCAATGGTGACTCCCAGCTCCCATGCTTCTCTCTCCTCTACTCCATGAGTAAGTCAGACAGTCAATAAACATTTCCTTATGGGAGAGGTGGGAATCCATATTTTCTGCTTTCCTTGTTTCCACACAGAGGCAGATAAGCTGCCAGTTTCTCAAAGGAGAACCTAAAACATGGGCCAATTTACCATCACATAAGTGCACTAAAGGTTGTCCAGTAGCCCTGAACCTAGTCAACAGGAGGCTCCATATACTATAACAAACCACACTGCTTTAAACTATCTCCAAAAGGGGTGGGAACAAGACTCCCCTAGTGAGATCGGATAAGCTAGACCAATCCCCAGGCTCTCCCCTTCCTTCCCCCTCTGCCTTGTTTTGGAGAACCTGACAGCTGCATGATCTTCTCCATGCCTCTCCTGAGGAAGGCCTAAGATTGTCCCAGTGTGTCTGTAGTGAGTGGTAGATCTGCTGAAATCAGGTAAAGAATTAGCATGTGCAGTGTGCACAGATTCAAAGCCATCTTGCTCCAGTTCCAGTTGCCTGTCTTCTGTGGCCATCTTTCAACATCCTAAATTCATATGTGGATGACCAATGGGACTTTGGAGTATCCTAAGACTCCACACATTGTATTCGGTACCTTGTCCTCAGTAGGTGGGGGAGGTGCACACCTCGCTTTCCCCTCCTGCTCCCAATAGCCAAACCTGTCCTGTTCACCTTCTACTAACCACCATCCCTCCCCCAAAGAAGGTTCAGGGACTTTTCACAGTTCAAGGAGTCACATCATCATTGTCCTTATTTACATAATGAACACACACACACACGCACACACACACACACACACACACACATTACTCAGAGAGGTGGTGAGCCTTCAGCAACTCTCCTTCTCAGACCTGAACCTGGATCCTAGTCCAGCCATCAGGAAGGGAGGCAAAGACTTTCCCTGACTTTGTAATTTAGAGAGACCCAAGAGAACTGAAAGCAGGAATTAAATTTGTGAGGCCTGAACCAGAGTGAGCTTATAGGAGGGTAGGAAAGCAGGAATAAGAGGTAAGTGGAGGAAGGGAAATACAATTTTATAAATAACTAGATGAAGTGTGAGCATTTCTAGGAGATGGAAGAGAGAGGCTAGCAGCATGTAGGGGCCTAAATAGGAATAGAAGAACTAGTGCTTGGGGTCAGGGAGGGTGAGAGATGAGCTGGTAGACTCCATTTGCCCCACCTGTAAAATGGCTTCAGAGCTTTTGGTCTTCTCTGAGAGGATAGGATTCTATAAGGGTCTAAGCCTGGAAGCTCTGGGACCAGGGCCCTGGGATTGATAAGGGCTGGTAGACACCCCCAGAGAGGTGATTGATGCCTAACCAGGCTATGTCTGGTCCCCAGGCTGGTACTGTGGCTCTGTGGAGGTAAAGTAGTCTTCCAGAAAGGACTGCAGGTACTCAAAGGTGGGCCTCTCCTCCGGGTCCATACGCCAGGTCTGCTCCATGGCTTCATATAGGGACGCTGGGCAGCCTGGAGGGCATGGCATGTGGTAGCCCTGCTCTACTTGTTCCAACACTTCCCGGTTGTTCATGCCTGAGGGGTGGAGCTCTGTCAGCAAGTGGAAGGAGCATGGCGGGGGGCTTCCCCATGACCACTCCCCAATTCCCCAATTCCCAGCACACCTGGGTAGGGGACGCGGCCCTTGGTGATTAGTTCTGTGAGCAGAATCCCATAGGACCACACATCTGATTTGATAGTGAATCTGCCAAAGAGAGCAGCCTCTGGGGCTGTCCACTTGATGGGGAACTTGGTTCCTGAGGAAGTTGGAGAGAAGTTAGTGAGGGGATCCTTGAAAAATCTTTGCCCAGCCAAGTGGCTGGGATCTATATCAGGCATTCTTGCTACTGAGTGCACACTATTATAACCTATTGCCTTCTGTTTAATACAACAGTACCTGCCACATAGCAGGTGGTTGGTAAGCTGGGACTTGAACTAGAATTGCATCTTTTTTTTTTCTTTTTTTGAGACAGGGTCTCACTGTTTAGCCCCTGACTATCCTAGAACTCACTATGTAGATCAGGCTGACCTCAAAATCATAGAGATCCCACCTGCCTCTGCCTCTGGAGTGCTGGGACTGAAGATCTGTGCCACCATGCCTGACCAGAAATGCATCTTATCCAAATCAGGATTGGGGTGTCTGGGCTGATCAAGGGTGGGGAGGGGTTCTGACTATATTGGGTGCATGGCAGCCCCTTAGAGCTTTTGATTTCCAGGAAGCTGGGGTGAGGAGACAGGGCACCTTGTCGGGGGTTATATTCATTGTCTTCGATGAGGCGAGCCAACCCGAAGTCAGCGATCTTGCATATTAGCCGCTCCCCAACCAGGATGTTGGCTGCTCTCAAGTCCCGATGGATGTAGTTCATGCGCTCCATGTAGGCCATGCCTTCAGCTACCTGGGAGGAGAGGGCGCTCACATGGACTCACAGCACCATAGCCTATGTGAGCAGAGAGGGGTCACCTGAAAAGTCCACTCTACTGGACCGGGATACTGAGATGCAATAGCATCTTCCTGCCTCTGGTCTCCCAGCTGATAAAGTGAGCTAGGCTGCAGTTCTGGGTGTATGAGGGCACAGAGATTTGTGGAAGGATAATAGGAAGGAGGTCTGGAAGATGAAACTGCTGAGCCAGGTTACCTGGGCTGCCATGTCCACTAGGTGGGGCAGCATCAAGTTCTGGCCCTCTCGATCCTTGAGGAAATCCAGCAAACTACCTGGGGAGAAGCAGCCAGAAAATCAGCAGCAAAGCCCAACTCCTAGCCTGCTTTCTCTTCATTAGCCCCGCCCATATCCGGCTAATCTATCCTTACCACCGCTGGAGCTCTCAGCTCTCTCTTATGAATCTAACCCTGCCTTCTAGAATCCCCCTGGGACGCCTCTTGTCATCCATTCTAGCCACATCTTTAGTCTCCACCCCCAACATCTGGCCACGCCCACCTAGACTCCGCCCCAGACCCGCCCTCATCTCGGATCCTGCCAGGTTTGCTCCTCACTCTCCAGCAGACGATCCCAAGCGAGTGGCCCCGCCCCCTGCGCCAAACCCCGCCTTCTAACTCAGCCCTGCCGGGACTCTAACTCTGGAAGGTTCGCACATCTCCAGTCCCTCACTAGGACTATGCTCACTGTTATTAGTTCTTTAACAGGAGGCGGCCCGGGTTCTTAGCCCCAGACCCCGCCTGCAACCCCGCTCCTCACCGTGACACATGAACTCTGTTACGATGTAGATGGGCTCCTCGGACACCACTGCGTACAGCTGCACAAGCTTGTCATGACGCAGCAGCTTCATGATCTGCGCCTCCTCCAGGAAGGCCTTCGGGGACATGGTGCCCGGCTTCAGCGTCTTCACCGCCACCTTCGTGCTGCAGTTCCACGTGCCTGCACGGTGGGTCATCTCATCAAGACCCGCTCCCCGCCGGCCCAGTTCACTGCCCCAGCCCCTGACCCCCGGCTCCTGGGACCTTCATACCCAGCCACACGTCCCCAAAGCAACCGGTGCCCAGTCGGCGCTCCAGCGCTATGGAGCTGCGGTTGATCTCCCAGGCGTCCTTGGCCAGGCCCAGCGTCTGTGGCTTCGTGGTGGTGCAGGGTGCAGTGAGCAGGTAGCACAACCCATCATTCACTTCTGGAGGAAGGACAGATGGACCGAAGCTTCTGGGAGAGGCCTTGTTTGAACTCTCCCACCAGGGCTCAGCAACAGACCTCGAGCTCAGTTATAAATAATTAGTCCCTAGCTTATGCCTGTAAACCCAGCAGTCAGGAGGTTGAGGAAGATTGTGTGGAGGTTGAGGCCTGTCTAGGCTACAGTGTCTCAAAAAATCTACAGAAAAAATAACTAGTTATAGTTGAGATCACAAGCCAGGATAGCAGGCAATTCAGTCCACTGAGTGGGTGAACATGTTAGTATCCAAGGACAAGGGTAGTACACAGAGTGAGAAATGATCCCTGTGGAAACTTCATGGGTCCTACTAAGAAGTGGACCTTTAAGGGTAAGGTAGGTAGGGTTCTAACAGTGAAAATAGGGTAAGGGATTTAAGACAAAGCTTTGGACATGCAGCCCATTCCTGACATGGACCTCATCCTGACATCAAGATGGAAGCACAGGCAGTGATGTCATCTGGGCTTCACACTTGGGTTCTAGTCCTGGCTGGACCACTACTGCACTGCCACTGATTTCATCTCACCACCATCACTTTGCCTGGCCACTGGCCACTGCTTTCTAAGGTACCTCTCTTTCTGCTCTGCCCCTGGCATCTAAGTAGCACCTAACAGCCAGAGTTTCTCCCCAAAGTTCAGACCAGCCTCTGTCACCCACTGCTCAGAGACCTGTGATAGTGACTGCCCAGGAGCCTTAATGAGAGATTCAAAGGAATGCAACAGGGCTGACGAGATGGCTCAGCAGGTAAAGGAGCCTGCCACTAAGCCTGACCAAACTGAATTCCATCCCTGGAACCCACATGGTGGAAGGAGAGAACTCCCACAAGTTGTTCTCCGATTTCCACATGTGCTCCCCTATCCACAAAAAAAAAAGGTTCCACACTCAGGCCTTGAGGCAAGAAACTGGCCAATTCCCCACTCACACATTAGGAGGCACTACTTGGCCATAGGCCACTTTGGGCCTCAGTTTTCTCTGAATCTCCACAGAACAGGATCCTGTCTTGAGAACCTCTACCTGTGGCCCAGCCACCTCTGCTTTGGGAGACCCTTTGCCTTTCTGGGCCTCAGTCTCTCCACTGTGACAACACATCAGATTGACTCAGGGATCTTACCCATGTAGTGCTGCACCAGCTCCTGCACAGACTGGAACTGGGCCCGAGTGGTGATGTAGTAGCCACCCGTGTCCAGCTTCCGGATCTTGTAATGCTTTATGTGATTGCCCCTGCTCTGGTCCCAGTCTCGGATGGACAGGGAGTAGGCACCTGTGTGGTAAGGGTCACTTTGGAATTAGTATTTTGTTCTCCCTTAGACTAAGTATAGGAAGTGGCCCCAAAGGCTGGGGACTCTGAGTCTGAGTGAGGACCACATCTCTAGGCCCCAGGGCCAGTCTTAGCTCTGCCCCTCTACCTGGTCCCAAGCACTGCCCCACTGACCTTAATGTCTGGTGGCATGGAGTGCCAACCCACCTTTTGTGGTCTCACTTTCCCGAATGAGAAAGGCCCCTTGGAGGTTGCCTGGCGAGAGCAGCTGCCTCTCAGCATCCTTTCTACTGACCTTTCCAAAGTACCACCTGTTAGGAACGACAGACTAGAATCAGGCATGCTCCTTTCAAATCATAACTCAATTGGGCCAACCCTCAATGTTCTCACCTGAGAAATGGGCTAATATACCTGCTTCACAGACTGGGGGTGAGGGTCACAGAGAAGCAAAGTAGAAAAGTGCTTGGCTCAGAAAGATCAGGGTTTTCCTCTCTACCATTGATTCCTCTTGAATTAAGATTGCTGGAGCCCAGTCACCAATGGTTATCTCACTAGAGCCTTCCACAACTCTTTTAGGTGGTGGTGGTACAGGGCATGAGGCAGGGTCTCCCTGTAGCCCCAGCTGCCCTGGAAGTCACTATGTAGGCCAGGCTGACCTCAAATTAACAGAGATCTACCTGCCTCTGCCTCGTGAATACTGGGATTAAAGGCGTGGGCCACCACATCCGGCCCTACAACTCATTTTTATAGATGAGGAACTTGAGGCTCAGAGAGGAACTGACTTGCCCACAAGCCTGGCTGATATGTACCACTAAAATCTTCACCCACCATTTTCCTAGCACCCCCAGCGATCACTGAATTTCCTCCCTGACCCTAGCCCCAAATTCTTTCCTCTTCTGGTTTCCAGAAACACCTGTCTTGCTTTGTTTCTCCTCTTCTTAGACACTCAGGCCCAGCTGACTACCACTTTCTCTTGCTTTCTTAAATTTGGATGTTGTCCTAAGTTTGATTTAAACCCACTCCAGCTTTCTCTTTCTGAGATTGAATTATAGCCCTGAACCAACTGTGCAAATACATTGGGGTAGGAGAGTGCCCATCCATGGCTGTAGAAGACTCAGCTGTTATCTGGTCCCTAAAGTGACTGACCACTTAGGCCAAACTGAAATGAACACAGTTTTCAAATCAAGGGAGGTGGAAATGTCTGGGAATTCTGGGATGGTCAGCTCATACTTGGGTACCAGGCACAGTTGGGAGACTGGAAAAGGCATTGGCAAATGGTGTGGCTAGGATGGCAGGCAACCAAGAGGAGGAACTACTGAAAGACTCTGTATATCAGACACATTTTTAAGGTTCTTCAAGATCTTCCTCCATTCACAGCCATGACCATAGTAACTTACTTAGGAACCAACATAGTAGTCGGGCACAGTGACATGCACCCATAATCTGAGCACTGGGGAGGTTGGGGCAGAAGGAGCTTTTAAGGCCAGTCTGAGTCACATAGCAAGAACTTGTTTCAAAACAAACACAGAATCTCGATAGGCAGAGGGCTTCTTTTGTGGCAGACTCTGACCCTGTACATAAGTGTGCTCATTGAACTCCTAATAATGTTGAAATAAAGGTGTTTTATTTATTTATTTATTTTTTAATTTTTTTTTTCTCATTGAAGCTGGTTTTGTTTGTTAGTTTGTTTTGTTTTGAAGCAGGGTCTCCCTGTAGCCCCAGCTGTCCTGGAACTCACTATGTAGACCAGGCTGGCCTTGAACTCACAGAGATCCGCCTGCCTCTGCCTCCCAAGTGCTGGGACTACAGGCATGAGCCACCACGCCCGGCAGGTGTTTTATTTTTAAAAAATATTTATTATTTTTATTTTATGTGTATGAGTGCATTGCCTGCATATATGTGAGTGCACCGGTGCAATGCCCTGGAAGTCAGAAGAGGGCTTCGGATTCCCCTGGAACTGGAGTTAAGGACAGTTCATAGCCACCATGTGGGTGCTGGGAATTGAACTCGGGTCTTCTACAAGAGCAGTCAGTGCTCTTAACCACTGAGCCATCTCTCTAGCCCCGAGAGGTGTTATTATTAACCCCGTAAGACAGATGAGGAAATTGAGATGCCTAGTGGTTAAGCACGTTCTCTGGGGCCACAGTGGGACTCCAAATAGTCTCTCAGGCCTGTGCTCTTAACCATGACACTACGTTGAGTACTTCAGACATCAGGATGCTTCCCAAATTGTGGATACAGCATGAATCCCCAACTCTCTGGCCCTTGGCATCATTACCCCTCCTTCCTTCATGCTTCCTTCCACTCACTCCAAAACACAGCTTCGCTCCACTTGTGCTGTGGGCCCTGCCTACATCCCTCTGCTCAGGGAAACCTACCCCACCCCCATGAGCAGTCCTCTGCAACTGTCCATCCACCAACCTCTAAAAACACACATCTTCTTTCCTACAGGAAAGCTCTGAGTCCTATCTCTTTTTTTAAAAAAAATGTGGTTTTGTGTGTGTGTGTGTGTGTGTGTGTGTGTGTGTGTGTGTGTGTATGGTCTTTTTGAGACAGGGTCTCCCTGTAGCCCCTGCTGGCCTGGACTTGCTATGTAGTCCAGGCTGTCCTCAGTCTCACAAAGATCCACCTGCCTCTGCCTCCAGAGTGCTAGAATTAAAGGTATGTGCCACTACTCCTGGCTCATTTTACATTTTATTTACTCAGTGTGTGTGTGTGTGTGTGTGTGTGTGTGTGTGTGTGTGTACATGCATACATACCATAGCACAAGTGAATGTCAGAGGCCAGTTTGTGGGAGTTTGTTCTCTTCTTCTACCATCTGGGTTCTGGGGATTGAACTCAGGTCATCAGGCTTGACAGCAAGCACTTGCTGAGTTATCTTGGGCCGCATTTGGCTCTGGCTGCTCACTTTGCATTCACTTGGAGCCACATTTCCCATTTAAGTCTCTACTTCTTCCCCTCCCACTCTCCCTCTCTCCTGGGTTCTGCTGACCTCTGCTCCCACTTTCCTTGAGACAAAGATTGTTTATCAAAGTCACCCTATTGCCAAAGATAGGGGTGTCAGAGACTCAGACACTCCCTTCTGTTTCCACAAAATTTTCCTCCAGTCCTGGGATGTTCTTCATTGACCTGGCCTGCTTCCCCTTTTCTCACGTCTGCAGTGGCTTCTCTCCAAGGCAGCATCCCCAGACTTGAGCCCCAGGGCCGCTCTATGTCTCTCCTTTACCCTCCTAAGCAGCTTAATTGTCATCTCTATTTGGATGAGTCCCAGATTCCACCAGCACAGGTGGCCATCTGCAAGGCCTACAGTGAACAAAGGAAGGTGTCTTGGTGCTAGTTAGGAATGGGCACCCCTTCTTCTGCGGTAATGCAGTGGGGTAACTGGGCTCCTTTTATACACAGCCCGGCCTCATCTAGCTGCTAGAAGCTTCTTTCACCTGGTCGTTCCTTTCAACAAACCTCAAAATGATGAATCCATGTGCCTCCACCTGCTCCAGTATCCCCCATTTTAGCAACTAGTACCACCCCCAACTTGCTAGTCCTCAAGAAGACTTTGAGTCACCCTCGATTTCTCTCACTCCCCATAATCCAACAACAAACCAATCTAAGTCCTGAGGACGCCTATTCTGGTTTTGAGAGACAGAATCTTATGTAGCCCAGGCTGGCCTCAAACTCATGATAAGTACTGAGATTACAGACATGTGTCACTATACCCAGCTCAGTTCAACAAAGACTCTTCCATCCTTTTTTTTTTTTCTCAAAAAAATTTCACAACTCTATTAAGATAGCTTCTTTTGTTTGAGAGGAGTTGGAGATGGAATCCAAGGCCTTGCACATGCTAAGCAGGTACTCTACCACTGAGTTCCACACCAGCTCCTCTCTACTCAATAGAACTAATTTTAAGTAATGTTCCTGTGCAATTGTTTAGCCTTTTTCTTTTTAAAAAAAATATTTTATTTATTATTTTTATTTTAGGTATATGAGTATATTGCCTGTGTGTATGTGAGTGCACCCGTGTCATGCAATGCTGTGGAGGTCAGAAGAGGGCTTCGGATTCCCCAGGAACTGGAGTTAAGGACGGTTCGTAGCTGCCATGTGGGTGCTGGGAATCGAACCCGGGTCCTCTGCCAGAGCAGTTAGTGCTCTTAACCGCTGAGCCATCTCTCCAGCCCAGCCTTTTTCATATTAAGTATGTGCTCTGCGGCTGAGGTACATCTTCAGTCCCACTAGGTTATTCGTTTATTTGTTTTTGAGAAAAAGTTTCATTTATCCCAGGATGGCCTCAAACTTGCTAAACTGAGGGTGACCTTGACCTTCTAATTCTCCTGCCTTTTCTTCCCAAGTGCTAGGGTTATAGGCATGTGTCACCATGGTTGGTTTTGCATGGTTCTGGGAATCAAACCCAAGGTCTCATGCCTACTAGGCAAGCATTCTATCAACTGAGCTACAACCTCAGTCCCCCAGCCCCATATTGTAGGTTTTAAAGGCTTTTTAGAATTTTTGATTCTTCATGTGTATGTGTGTCTAGGTAAGTGTGTGCCACATGTGTGTGGGTACCTGCAGATATCAGAAGAGGACATCAAATGCCCTACAGCTGGTGCTACACGGGGTTGTGAGTGCCTGACATGGGTACTAGAAAACAAATTCTGGTCCTAAACTGCTGAGCATCAGTCCAGCCCTACTTTATAGATTTTTTTAAAAATCCCATGGGCATTCCTCTTTGGGAACCCCTCCCGTTCTTGGGAGAGTTCTTTCACACTTTTTCTTAAGAAATTTACATTCTCTCTGCTTAAGTAAATAAGTAAATCAAATAAACAAATACAAAAATAAAGCCATGATGTTACTGTTACGGGAGAAACAATATATTTCTTTCCTTTCTTTTTGAGATAGGGTCTCCCTGTAGTCACAACTGGCCTGGAACTCACTATGTAGACCAGGCTGGCCTCTATCTCACAGAGATTCACCTGCCTCTGCCTCCTGAGTACTGCGATTAAAGACGTGGACCACCACACCTGGCTCAGAGAGACAATATGTATACTAACTAGCACATGTTGTGTGACTAGCTGGGTTCACACACCAGCTCCACCCTTTCCTAGTTATGGGCAGGATATTTAGTCATTTTCTCTGTGCCTCAACTTCCTCATTTGTAAAGTAGAGTAATAACAGTTTCAAACTGTTAACACACAGAAAGCACTCTGAAGAGGTTACAGAACACAGTACCTGCTGTATAGGTGTTATCTACTGTTATCATCTTATTTTAGCCCCACAATAACCTCATAAAATTATAGATAAGGAGGCAGGCTCAGAGTAGAGCAGCAACTCCATAAAAGGTGGCCTTGGAGATTAGACACCAGGATCTTCTCCATAGGGCTTGGCCTTGTCCCGACCCTACTCACTCCTCAGCCTGTATGGAGTCCACAGGAGCCACGTAGTTGCTGGGAACATAGCCAGTGTGTCCAGAGCTGAGGGAGCGTGCCTCCCACCAGTCAACTTCCCTGCAAACACAGAACATAGGGGTAGTCAGAAGCACTTGAGGGTCCATGCAGGGCTACAAGAGGATCAGCTGGAGACTCACCCTACTAGTCCTCACTTTGGATCCTTCCCCACTCCCAGAACTTTTGTCTGCCCTGCTTCCAGCCACTGCAGTGGTCCTAGCAGGGCCTTTCCCTGTAAAGGGAATACATTTGAGGATACCTGGGCTTCTTCCTCTTGCTCCTTGCTTGGGGTGGGAATACAGTGGATAGCTGACTGTGTCCTTTCCCCATTGAAAACTCCAAAGGGCTGCATAATTCCTTCTGGATAAAATGCAGGCTTCTCAACATGGCTTAAAGGCCCATGGATTCTGCCCTGCCTGCTTTTTCAGCCACACTCTATTCTGCATCTTATTCTTCCTCCTCCTCTTCCTCCTTCTCCTCCTCTTCTTCCTCTTCTTGGAATTGAACCCAGAGTTTTGCTCTACCACTGAGCTACACTCCCCAAGCTTGCACCTCATTCTTTTCCTTCCTCCCTCCCTCCTTCCTTCCCTCCTTCCCTCCATCCCTTCCTTTGTTTTTGAGACAGGTTTTGGCTATGCCCCAGCTGGCCTGGAACTCACTATGTAGACCAGGCTGGCCTTGAACTCACAGAGATCTGCCTGCCTCTGCCTCCCAAGTGCTGGAATGAAAGGCATGCATCACAACACCCAGCAATTTTTATTATTTTTATTTATTTATTATTTTTGAGATAGGGTCTCCCTGTAGCCCCAGCTGGCCTGGAACCCACAGAGGTGCCCAGACCTCTGCCTCCTGAGTGCTTGGGATTCAGGGCGTGCACCACCATGCCCAGCTTACACTTAATTCGTAATTTATCTATGTGGAACCACTTGGTGCTTTCTAGAAATCATCATCTATTCTCACCTCTTCCTTGTCTACTTATTTTTCTAGTCTCAGCCTAAAAATTTTCCAGAGAGCCTGCCTCTGATCATGACTACCCTGGGGATCATGCTTAGCGTTCCTTCCGTGCCCTCTCACCTTCCCTCTCCCCACATAGTAGCAATGGTCCAGGGTTCCCTTATTCTTGTTTGTTTGTGATACTTTGAACCAAACTCAAGGCCACATGCTAGGCAAGTTCTCTCTACCACTATACTCCCCTCATCCAGGACTTTTATTGGCAGGGATAATTGTTCCCAACCAGGCTGGAGCTTTCTAAAGACAGAGATCAGGGTCTTGTCCTCACTGGGTCCTGCTCCAGTCCAGGCCATGCCCTGAACTAGATGGCCTGGCCACTTACGAATTGTTCAGGATGTGGAACTTCTCGCCCTTGGTGAAGGTGAGGTCATCCTCTGTCCGGGCCTTATAATCATACAGGGCGATGAACAGGGTCACTCCAGTTCCTGTAGAGTCAGAGCTGCTCAGCAGAGTAGGGCACAGAATGGGGAACCAAGGAGGCTGCACCCCCAGATTCCAGTTTCCCAGTCAGGTACTCCCCAGCATCACAGTGTCCAGGTTCCCAAAGAGCTTTGGGGACCAGTGGATTTCTGATTTGGGCTTCACAGATTGGCCCCCTGGGTTTGGTGCCAACACCTAGCTTCATATTCTTGTCTGGAAAGTCCCTAAGTTGTCCCCTCTTCCTGTTCCCCACCAACAAGACTTTTCACCTTCTGAAGTGACACCAAAGAGGCCAGAAATGTGTGTGTGTGTGTGTGTGTGTGTGTGTGTTTGTGTGTGTGTGTGTGTG